TAGTGATAAATTAAAAAAAGGATACTTACACGGCCAGCATTGGGTTTGTGTTTTTGAAGTGCTTGGAACTTGCTTCTTTGTGCAGGGAAGCTGAAGTAGCAGAGCTACGAGAGAAACGCAACCACCTCTGTGAGCTCCTGAAGGTGCCCAAACCACAGCTGGTAACCAAGGTAAGGTGCAGCAGTGCTCCTGAGCTTCTGGGAAGAAGCACTGCAATGATCAGTTGTTCCAGTAACTGAGGACATTTGGTAAGTTCTGTGGAACAGATGTAGTCCTTCACAGGTTCATGAATGTAGGAATGTCCTCAGCTAACTACAGAGTGTATGGAGTTGCTGAAAACTATTCTCTCAAGTCCTTCCAATTTCATTTCTTAAAGCATTCCAGAGTTGCAGTGTGACATCTGAGTCAAAATGCAAGAATGAAATAATACAGCACAGATGTTTCAAAAACTGTTTGACTGCCCTTTCTAGGGAAGAAAAAAAAGGATGACAGCATCTCACTCCATTTTAACAGCAAAATTATAAGGTGTGCTGTTGGTGCAAATCACAGAACTCTAACACAGAGAATATATTCTGGATTAAGTTCATTCACATTGATAAGAAGACAATAGATCAGGTGTAGATTTTTTTCTTCCACTTCACTGCAGACAGTTTGCAATTGCCCATCCACTCAGTATTTCTAGAAAGGCAGAACTTCCTGCTTTAATTTCTGGAAGAGGTCGTTCTGTTCTGCTGGTGAGGCTCAAGTAAGCAAGATAAGTAACAAATGTAGAAGGAAACTAGTTAGGTCTTAGCACGTTCATCTCAAGCACTAACTTACTGGATAATAACAGGAACTATTCCAGTTGTAGGTGATGAAATTCAGCACAGCAAAATCCTTTCTTCTTTCTGGAATCACCCAGCAATGGTAGAAGAAGGGATTTCTTTAGAAGACACTGCTGTGAAAGAGCATTCCTAATTGAAAGATTTCAAGGTTTCTTTAGCAGTGCATCAATCTGGCAAGCAAATGCCAGTGCTCAATACATTAAAAGCACAGAGCTGTTACAGTACTGTGCGTAGCCCAGCCAGAGAACTTAGAGTTTGCTCTAAAAGTGACACTTAGTGAACTTGAAAGACTTGCTGCAGCTGTCCTCATGTCCTACCTGCAGCCAGCTGGTTTGCACACAGGAGCTCAAGAACAAACAGCAGCAGAGAATGCCAAGCATTATGAAAAGATGAATTAATTTTATTGAAATAAATAAACAATTATTCCTTTAAAAACCTGTACAAATCAAATTTACTGATGGGTAGTTAAAAATTTTAACTTCAGATTTCTACATTTTCTTCTTTAGTTTACTTAATTCCATACACAACTGTGCAGTTGGTAAGACTGCAGTATGTGCTGCTCCACCTCTTTTTCTCTCTTGCAGAGTTCAGCAAAGTGAAGTCGCAGCGCTGGCTTCTGCTTCGTAAATCCAAGCTCTTGGTTCAGGTGCTGCTGTGGCATCTCAACACGGTGGATTCTCAGCATCTCTGCAAAGTACACTGGTGAACAAAATAAGAGGCAGAAGTTGTCTTACGGCACCGTGCAGATATGCAGACCCTGTGAGGGCAACAATTATGTCGTTTTTTTCTTAATTCATTATCTGTAGCCACAAGATGGCAGTTTGTCTTCATAGCTTCATAGCTCTGGCACAGCTGACCTGTTGGGTTTCAGTTGTTTTCTTTTCCCTGTGTCAATGATTTACACTTCTCCAGTTCTGAATGGAGTCATTCAACCTGCGCTTGCTGTTTACACATTAAATATTAAAACTGACTGCATTACTCTTATAAAAGAATTTTTTTTGCTGGAGGTAAGAATGGCTATACTTACTGGTACTTCATCTTTAGGAGAGTTTATATGTGCAGGCAAGTATGCCATTTGTACATCATATTCAAACAAAAAATCCTAAGTTTCACTTCAACTAATGCCAAAGTGTTATTCAAGCAAATGTAGTAAACTAGCTTTAGGAACTGAAGTTTCATTTTCATTTTTCCCTCACTAGAGAGGAATCAGTACTTCAAGCAACTGGCAGGAATTCAGACTATTCCTTATGGACCATAAAACAAAATAATTGCAACATTTATCTTCAGTAACATTACTGTGACTGTAGGGCAGATGCACAGGTAACCTGGTGTCACTACATCTGTTTTTTGATGGTTCTAGGGAATTCCTCTCTCCTTGCTCTGCAGATAGAACAGCCATCAGGGACAGTACATACACACACATCTGGGAAAATCTGAAAGAAAGGAAAATTTCAAGAGAAGCTGTGGAGTACCTGCTATGGTGTAGTGCAGGTGTTCATTTCCAAAACTACACTTGTGTCACTGCAAGATTTTTTTTAAGATACTGCAAATGGCATTATGTTATTCAAAACTTCTTAACTAAGCTTGCAACCTGGCACATGAAGTTCAACGTAAGTCTATGCATGGTATTCTCTAACTGTTAAACAAATGAGTACTCAGTTCAAATACTGAGCTGGCCTCGTGGCTCTGTGCAGCACATTGGCTCTTGCAGGTGTCACTCTTCCTGTTAGGCTGTCATTAAGAGCCTTATATACTGTAGTATAATTTTTCATTTTGCTCTTGCAGAGTTTTACTGCATGAAAAATACAAGTTGTGGTGGCAGGACCTGCTAAGCACAAAAAAATAAGAGAAGGTCCAGTGAGAAATATATCTGCATGCAGTAATCATGTGCCTGCCAACTGATGTTACACATACACCTGCTTCTAACAGCCCTGAATCAGAGGATGCTGTACTTGCTGTACTTCACCCATGAAGTGCCAGCTGTTGCTCTCAGTAGCAGATGAAGCCAATAGCAGGGACAGGTTGAGGGCCCCAGCTAAGGTTTGACAGAAAGCTCTCTTTACACTTGCATGGTTATAGGCTTTCCTTGATGTATTTTTAAGACTTCCCTATGGTAACAGTGCTGTTGTAGTCTTCTGGCCCTTATTTGATGATTACTTCAATTAGAAGTACAATTTAACAAACAAAATGAGCTTGGTAGGTCAGTGCTGGGCAATAGTAAAATGAGTAAATACCTCTATAGTGGTGTTCTTAGTACCTCCCTTACAAAGGGCTACTAGGAATAAAGATCAGTAAAGCACAAATTACTAAGAATTTCTAACACTGGTCTTCCTGCACGTGCTGATACAGACATAACACACAGCTTTGATGTTGCTGCCTTACCTTTGCCTTTAGTTAAAGTGATAATAATCCATCCCTTCTTTCAAGTTCAACATGTTCAAGTTCATTTCAAATGCTCCTCCTGTCAAATCCTATGGGGGGGAACACAAAAACCAGACAAAAAAACTGGACAAAAGTATTACAGGTTGTAACAGGCTTTGCTAATTTGGTTCTTTAGGCCACAGGGAAAAAGTCCCATTTGCAGAGTTGAACGTAAGTAGAACAAAGCTTAGAAATGCATCTGTTCAAAAATTAGGCACATGTTGAGAAATTAGCATTCAGGTTAGTATCTTTGGGGTTGTGGGAGGATGTCAGACAACTCATCATTCTAATGCACTGAAGTAGAACATGAGGACTACACTGAGAGCTCTGAAGATAAACATCTGCAACTCTGGGTATTTTGTTTTCCAGTGTAGGCATTTGCAGAGAACAGACCAAGGGAATGAGTTTGATACAACAGTGACTTTGTAGATTTTGAACAGTGATTAGGCTTGGCTGATGAAACAAACCTTTCATCAAGCAACTGAAATACTTTGCTTAGGTGAAGGTGTTTCCTTTTAAGCTGTCGTTACCTTAACAGGAACCTGGTGGGTTTGCTCCATGAGTCATTTTTCAAGGCAGCAATACAGATCCTAACACAGCTGTGATGTCATTAAAAGAAAACATGCCAACAGCAGTGTTTTTGACATTTCTGTGTTGGCCTCACCGAGTTCTACTTCAGGAATATCACAGAAATGAATTAAACCTCACAATAGTACAGAAAACTTTATGTTTTTTTGGATGGTCCAGAGTAGCAATATTGAAGTTGCACAACACCCTGCAGGTGTTTTGGACAGGAAGTTACAAAACTAGAGCCCAAACAAAACTGGAATTGGAGGAGGAATGCTGGACTTAGGCTAGAATAATTGGCTTCAATAAAATTGCTCTGGGACTTTCTATATATCTGAGTTCAGAAATAAAGTTTTCTGACTCACATAGAGAACATTCAGCTTCCAGCTCATCTTGGACCCATCTGCTGCAATGCTTATAAAACTGCTCACACAGCATATAGGTGTTTCTTAGAAGCCCTCCATTCAAGGAACACAAGGCCATCTCCATCAACAGTCCACCCAACTGCAGAACCACCCGCCCTGTCCCCTCCAACCTGCTCCTTAAATTTATATAGGAAACACTGCATATTTCAAAGCGTGGCTCAAACCAGCATGCTGTGCTCAGGCTCAAAGATTCCCTCCCTTTTCTCCTATCCCAGTATCTTCTACCTGCAGTGTTTCTCAGTTTTCACTGGCAATGCCAAAGTATACAAAGACAACATTATCTGATCCAGAACTTCAACAAAAACAAATCCACCAGAGTCCTAAAGCTACTTGAGCACTGTTGTTTACAAACAATTAAAAGGAACAATGATAACAGCTAATGCATAACTTGGAGAAGGGCAGAAAAGGTCTGATGGCAGCAGATTTTTAAAGCAAGAGCTCCACTTTACCTATCTAAGCTATTGGTTACCTGAGTGATAAGGGCCTGAGTGTGAAAGATGTTGAGTATGGTTTTGTTCTTTTTTTACCTCTTGATATTAAGAATACTTGACAGCATTTAGTACTTCGAAGGACTGGGTCCTGGTTTTGCAATCCAGTTCAGATCCCAGGCTTCCACTGGTTCAAGTGCGAGACTCAGCACTCACATCAACAGAGAACTCTACTTAGAAATGCAGGTCCTGATCATGACCTTTAGTCTCCTCTAATGATTTCATAAACCCAAGATTACCCAAATTTGGACTTGGGGTAGGAAACGGTGCTGGAAAAAAAAAAAAAAAAAAAAAAAAAAAAAAAAAATCAACCTGCTCTGAAGAAGGGTTAAAAATGAAAATAAAAGAGCCCAGATGCTAAATTAAGCAGAAGAGTTAAAAACAAACCTTTCATTCCCAGACCGCAAGACTGAGGTGACAGAACAAGGCAGTGTTTCACAATAACTGGTCAACAGTAAATTTCCTGAATACTTCACACAATTGAACTAGTTTAATTACTGAGGCAGAATAGTAGAAAATCCCTTTCATTTCAAGCACTTGGAAGCCATGCCAAAACAGGGTACAGTAAGTGATTTCTAAGCATTTTGCTTTCACCTCAAAGCAAGAGAAAATACACAGTGCAGACCCTTAGGTGAAGTGGTACTGCAGGCTGGTGCACAACTGTGATGAGCTGAAGCCATGATGCACACACACAGGATTTCAGCTGCAGCCCTTTGTGAAGCAGTTTTAAAAGCAAACCCAACAAAAATCAAATAGTGTGACTGCTTTTTCAAAGATGATTTTACATGGTAACACAGTCATACTGCGCTAGGGAGGAGCTGCCAGAGAAAATAAATAAGCAAACAGTGCTTGAAGTACACAGCCATCAGGGTCAACTCCTGCAGACCACCACTTAATAAACATATCTAATCTTCAAAATCACCCTCTTAGAGCTGCTTATAAACATGCAGGTTTTGTCTGTATCACTACTAAAAATAATTCTCAACCATGAAAGGCAGAACAAAAAACAGCAAGGCCCCAGAACACTTCTTCAGAAGGATGTTGGTTAATCTATATTTGTAAATAATAAATTCGGAAGTCTGGGATGTTTACAAACTTGTTAATGACTTCTGTTTAAGTAAATCAGTGGAAGGTCTCAGCAGCTAGCTCTGCCTTGCATCAACTTCAACAAGTCCACACCACACAGAAGCAGTTCCAGCAGGGGACTCCAGCCAGGCTGCATGGGCTGCATCCACACGTTTGTTTGGCTGCACAAGAAACGTCCTTACACTCACTGGGAATCTTTCTATGTTAGCAGCATGACCTGAAACACAGAGCTGGGTCAACCTCCTCACCCTTAGTTTGAAAACACGGACACTTTGTAACCTCTCAAACACTCGGATTTTGTAGGTCCCGCACAGCACCCTATGGACAGAAGAACTTTGTTTTGTTGTGGTCATGTCTATCACCTCACCTTGGGACTTAGCTCCTAACATCAACATTTTCGGCAGAGTTCCATGTGATGTATGCAAGTGAATAGAATCAGAGAGGCAGAAACAGCTATCAGAAAGTACAGAACATTTTTCATTTGATGCGGTCTTAACATTTATCTGCGTATGCATCCTACCATATTTCTTTGTTTGAAAAACGCACTGGAAGGGGAAATGGAGAGAGGTGAATAAAGCAAAGCAGCTGGGAAGGTTTGCTTTTAGCTGTTCCTTCAGATGTGGGCTGCACAGAAAGCAAGGCAAATTCCGTCTATAAATACAGCAAAGGCCAACCCGCGGCATTTTGTGGCCCGCACAATAGCAGCGCAGATGAATGAAAGTTCAACACTCTGCTCTTCTCAGCCCATTTAGAAACCATTTCCTTTAGCGGTCAGACCCAGAAGTTTGAAAGCTGCTGCAGACAGGATACCTGAATATTTTAAACCACAGACATTTATCAGCTTGTTTTGTTTTGGTAGAAGACTACTTTCCATGACAAAACTACTACTGAAAAGCGTGGCCATTTCAATCCCGGCACAACCTCGCAAGTACTAAGAATGGGATTTTGTAGATTCCAACTGCCTCCACGGAGACTCATAACAGTAATTAAATCCAGCAAGTATGACAATGGCTGAAAGAGAGGTTGTAAAACTTCCTGAGGATCAGCTGCAAAACCCAGCGGTAGCAGAAAGGAGGGTCCAGCAGGCTGGGTTTGGGAGTGCGACTCACAACTCTGCTGGACGAGACCCTCCGAGTCCTTTGCTCCTGGCTTTTACACGTCCTGCACTTTGGTACAGATACCTGCGTTGTCTGTCTGTCTCACTGTGTCCGAGGTTTCTCAGGTAATAACAGTATATTCAGCACTACAGGCAAATACTTGGTTTCAGCTCTTCATTATAAACGTCTGTGTCCTTCTAACCCGATCCCTTATCTTCATAATATCACACCAATAATATGGCATAATGACAGAGGGGTACGGTGAGGTTTGTATTATTAACAGGTACATTTAAAACTTACACAGAGGCAAGCTCTGAGGGCTCCCACTACGTTATTATGCAAGTTTATTCTCATCATTTTCTTGTCCCTTTGGCCCCTCTCGTTCTCCCAGGGTACAACGCTGCTGCAACTCCTTGCACACTGACTTTCATTCACCTCTGCACTGGGGTGTTTTTGCCATCAGGTCTTATAGCACCAACGTTAGCAGTACCTGCGTGTCTCAGTCACAAAGTGAGATGGGCAAGGACATGACCTGCCTGCATTTTGTAGAGGCAGCCCCATCTGAATGGCTGGCTGTTGGCTTCATTATGTTCTCCCAGAAAGTAAGCAGCTCCAAAGACACATTAGAAGGAAATTCACAAGCTCTAAAAGTATTTCAAGTAGGTCAAATCCTATTTACAATTTAAAAATACTGCTTGAAAGAGACTATGGCCTGCAGTATTTGTGGATTGGTAAGTAGGAAATGCTCAGTGGCAAATAGCAGAAAATACACTGAAATCACTTGTCTTAAGGCAAGATGTTGTACAACAGCCTCATTGTAAGGGCTTCACAAATTAGATGTGCTTTGTAACAGGTTGCACAGATGTTTTGTCTAGGGGCTTCCACCCACCATTATACATAGTATGAAAAATTAAATTAGTTGTAATATCACTAGTTGATCCAGCAGTTTATCAACCAGCACTACACAGCAATGCCCTAAGGTACTTTCAGTCTGGCTTTACAACCTAAGTTATGATCTCAGAGTTGGCTGTAAAGTTGGGAGGGCAAAGTTAACAGGGATCTGTATGAGATGTGATTCAGCTCATTTATCTTCAAACAAATCTACAACAGTTTTAAAATATCCATGTTTCTACATAGCTTCAAGTTTTAGTTACTTTCAGAGACTTTTTAATTAATATTTACAATTACAGCATAGTTGCTATTTTGCTTTAATCTTCTGTGTTACCCCGCTATGCTGTGCTATTATTTTAAATATAGCAGCACAATTGCTGCTGGTAATCTTCTAGTTATGTTACCACTGTCAGCCACGGAAATGGTGTCAGAATTCACAGTGCCAAACAAAATAGTTTTCAAGGTCTGATTAAAAAAAAAAAATAAAGCCTTTGAAACTCACAGGGCTGCAATATTTTAGGAATAAACAAGAGCAGGTGACCAATGATATGTACTTATTTGTGCATACAATGGCGGGCAAGAATAGAGAACAGATCCAAGCTCCTTTACCCAGGCTGTAATTTTTATCATTCTTAATATTACAATTCTTAATGCTGCTGTTTTAAAACCCTGAAGTACTCTGCACAGTTTGTTAGAAGGGCCCTTCAGCTGTACAGTAAAGACTTCTGGGAAAACAGTTACATAGAAATTGATGATAATAAGGAGCAATTACTGATTTTGTACACACAGCTAAGGGTGCTCACCTGCTTCACACAGATAATGAAAGGTGGAGTTGCTTCTCTGAAGTGACATATAGGAATTTTTGGTTTTGGTCTCTCCTGCAAGCAGAGCAGTCAAACAGTTCAGCAGCACAAACAGGCACTTGTTTTAGTTTTAGGAGCTACTAAGCAGTAAAAGAGGAGAAGGGAATTTTAAGACCTTATTTTTAAATAGTGTACATGATCACGTTTCCACTCACCATTTCCCCAGTCATTTCAAGAACCCATTACTTTCTTTCCATTACCTTTCAACATAATTGTTTTTCTTTGAATGAAGTTATGCACTACATTACACAGATCTTAATTAAGAGCTTTCTGCTGTTGAAAGGAGCAGCTCTCATTCCTCTCCTTCAGGTTATCTGCCTTTTAGCCCTCTCCCCAAATGATTTCCTCTTGGATTTAACTACAAGGCAGGTTGCTATAACAGCCTATCACATCACATACTATATATATTTTTCCTGTTTTTCTTTTGAGCTGGTTCTACCCCTTTAGTGAGCTGAATCAGCTTAATGTGCCATCAGAGCAGGAGCAAAGCAGGCACAAGGCAAGCAGCAAATATAAAAGCAGAATCCTTCCCTTTTAGCTAGAGCTGTTAAATGGCTTATGCTCAACTAAACTTCAACAGGGCTCCAAGCTGCAGAATTTTCTAAGGATTCACAACAGTTTGTAGTATAATCTTATTTATGATTGATCTGGGAGAATGGCTACATGTTAGCAAGACATAAGCACAGATCTGCAACAGAAATGCCCATAGCATTACTATTAACTAGAGGTGATGAGTCATGTTCCTGGTCAAAATCCTCAATTCTGATTGCAGCTGGAAGCCCTCTCCCAGTACAGAGTCTGATTTTATAATTACTCTAGTCTAATCACAAGCTGCATCTGAGGAGATGCTCCCTCATCCCTCCCACAGCAACCTCAGGGTAATTTCATTCACAAGATAACGTGCTGGAAAACTTCTTTTGAGGGTTCCTTCTCTGCCAGATCAGCAAACTGAATTGTCATCCTTTAGCCACAAGACTGCTAGACCCAGTATAAACAAGGCAGTGGGAGTGCAGGGCTGAGGTCAGACCACCCTGCAGCTAAACCAGCTGAGCCACAGCATCAGACTGCACTCCCAAGGACCTGACCCAGTGCCCAGTGAACCTGAGAGCTGTCATGTCACTGACTGTTCGAGGGCCTGAATCCGGGTGAAATTACTCCAGATCTTGGAGCTAATTGCTATCATTAAATTAACAGTGTAATAAAACAACTTTTTCTACGTGATTTGTTTATTGCTATCTAAATATCATTATTCCTTCTCAGTGGAATGAAGTGTTTGTGCCTACAATTCTAGGCTCGAAAGGAGCCTATCAGTTAAAGTCTTATTTAGATACAGTATGACTATAATTAACCTATAGATAAGTTACAATTCATCACTGAATTTTTCTTCTACTTAGTAGACATTAGACTTTGGCCCATCATTAGCGAAATGCTCTCATCTAAAAGAAAAACCATCAGAGAAGGCAATACTTTATCCCATCAGAATATACATGTGTCTTTTTAAGCTGATTTCATTTAACTGAAATCCTGCCTGTCTGCTTCAACTTGGAAGATGACCCCTTGGGAAGAGGTTTGCTGCCATCACAATTTGTTAACAGTGGAAATACCATCTCACAAATCTTCGTGTTCTTCCTTCTACTTCCCTCTTCATTAGGGCAAGAAGTTTGTGTCTGTAAGTCCTCCCACTCATCCCTCTTTGTTCTTTCTTGTGAGGTCTAGAGGCATCTCTATAAAACCCATTCCTGAAGAATCACACCTTGTGCTGGTTTTGATCTGACCTGAAACAAAACTATTCAGAGACAATTCCTCTGTCACCATTACAGATGAGGTAGTCTCATTCAGACAGGGATTCTGGCTCCATAGTTGGCTCTGTGGTATTGATCTCCAGCTCTCTAGCTTCCTACACAGTCACGGCCTCCTTACCTCTAACCACCAGTCATGGTCTCCTACCAAAATGAGCTGCCATATCATATTAAACATTTGTGCTATATTCTTTCATCAGTTTTCTCAGAACATTTTCAGATCACAGCAACGAATGCAAAAGGAACTAACCTCAGATTCTTCATAAGTGTAGAATCCTTTTGCTATTTTCTTTTCATCAACATCGCAAAACGCAGTTACCTGGAGAAAAGGAAGCAGAATGGTTCAATGCCATTCTTTGCTATCAGCAGCTATTTCACTTGGTCGCCATGGTCTTCATGGAGATTAAAACATATTAAATCACTTCCATGTACATCTTAGTGAGATAGGCAATGTTTGGAGATGGCTATGAGCAGACTGTGTTTTCCTGATCGTGAAAACAGATGCTGTGTAAGAAAAAACACATGAGATCATTAACCTCACATCCTCAGCGACACGCCAAGCAAAGACAGAGGCTGACCTCCTCATTGCAGGACTTCCACCAAACACTTCAGATTTGATCACACATACCTGCCAGTCCAGTCCAAGCACATCACCTACTGCAAGATACAAGACACAGTGCTGCACTATTGCTATGGATGCTCTGGTAATACCAGCTTCAGTTCTCAGCCATAACACCCCAGGTCTGCTGTTTATCTCTAGATTTTGTCCCTATTTTTCAACTGAAAACGCCAGCAGATTTTGTTGTTTAAATACATACATTTACTGCTGTGTTTTTGTTATTCTTAATGTAGTTATGGAAGCATTATTTATAGCCCTTGTTGCCAAATATTTCACATTTTTTTAATCTGTATTCCCCACAAATACACAGGCATAGTAAATGCCTGCAATCCAAAATACACAGTGGCCTCATTCTGGAACCATTAAACCAAATGTCAGTAACATTTTGTAAGACTTTTAAAAACAAATGTAGCTATGTTTTCCTCTGACTTCCTTTGGATCTATCTGTATCATCTGCACAGAGCTTTTACACTGAAGCAGAACGGTGAAGGTATTTAAGGTCTTGCAGAAATCAATTATTCTGGTGAAAGCTGGGTAGCAGCTTTCCTATCTTTTTAATCGTTGCATTAAAAATTGATTAACACCACTTAACATTGGGAAAATTTGAACAGCCAAACAGCTGTATATTAATTTACTAAGTTAGAGAAGCTGCAGAAGGCTGGCTGGCTCTCGGTACCTACCTCCATCCCTTCCATTTTCCTCCTTTGCATAAGATATTTTATTTTACCTAAAATGACCTCCTTCTGTTTGCACAATAGGGGACACTGATGCAACAGCATTAGTGTCCTAATGCTGCACTTTTGCATCCTTTATTGGTTCACCAACAAAGAAAAGAACGTTAAGGAAACATTAATTTTCACTTTGGAGCTGAAGGAGGAGCTGAATCATGTTTCAGGCCAGTAAATCCAGACTGCTGCTCTGGGTGCTCCTGATGCAGGGGTCACACTAAGGACACAGCCCACGCTTCAGACTTTACAATGGAACTAGAAAGGGAGCGCAGGGAAGTACCAGGAAGCTAACAGACACTGAACAAAGTCTCTGTGGCTGGGTTAGACAGCCCTAATCGCAAGTAACTTCAAGCACAAAGAACCAGCACCTTCCCTAGGTTCTCTTTTGTCTCTGTGCTTGGACAAATTAATACCTCCCCAACTCTGCTTTCCCCAGCCATCATTATAGCTTACTGTAACTGAAAAACAGAAGGTGTGGCCTGTAGATGAGCAAGAATTGAGCATAGCAAACTTCATTCAAGATTTCTGCTGGTAAGTATCTGCACATCTAATTTTCAGTGGATTCAGCCACCTTAAATCTGATATCTGCAGTATTAGAAAAGAGGCCAGACTCCAATGGGCAAATCTTCTGACAGAATGTACACCACGTGGGTGGCCAAAATGTAAGTCAACAATTTTTCTGCCACACACTATTTTCCAATTAAAGAAAATCTGTCTGGAGACAAATTCAGGACTTGCACGCAGTTGTTTATTCAAGAAGGGGACTCAAGGCATCAGGCTTACTTGAGATATTTACGTTAAGCTGTTAGGTTTACCCATGTTGCCTGTTTCTCTCTTGCACTAACAGGCTCCTATCTTGCATCTCCTATGAAGTTCATCTACCCGTACAGGAGCTTCTGGGGAGGAAATTATGCACTATAAAAGCTACAAAACAGTCTCAAAAGTTTTTTTTTCCTTCCTCCCAGCAAAATAACTCATCTGCAATGCAACTGACAACATGGCATCATTGAAGCTTACATTTGTATATTTCCTTAAAACTGATGTATGTGCCTTCAGGCCACACATCAGTTTTAAGGAAATACACAAGTGTTTATGCATTTTTGTTTTGAACAACACACAAATCTGTGCAGGTACAAAACAAAATATTGCTGTTTTTCTCCACTAAAAATGAGATGACAGCTATCTATGTGTGATTCACAAGCTACATAATTACTATAAGTAATAGTTATAGGTTGTAACACACATTAACAGCGGTATAAAGGCAATGGAGAAAGCTTTTCCCTTCTTAAGAGAATATTTACGTGGCTCTAAAGATCAGTTATTTACTCAAATCTAGGAGAAAAAAATTGGGGAAGGTAAAAGCATGCCTCTGGCTGGTTCCTTTTAATAAGCACAGTGTGAAGGGACAGGCTTGGACTATCAGACCAAGGAATCTTCTCTATTGCATTCTCTCTCTGTCTCCTACTGCTCACACGGTCCTCCATGCATTTTAAACTTCTACTGACCTTCCTGATTCTACTATTTATAATTCTTTCACTCTTACTTGTATAAAGCCTCGGAAGCACGTTAATATACATCTCTGCAAATGTTAAATCAATTTTGGCTATTCACGTCAAAACAAAGCAAAGCAAAGCATTATAATGCAAGTTTAAATAGATACAAGTAATGACAAACAGACCAAGGGGCACACAGAGGCAGAAACATCTTCAGCATGCCATAAGAGGAACCACAAAGACAACAAGCAATTCTCAGTCACAGTCTGATTGACTTCAGTATCAGGATGTTGCTTTTATTGCACCCAGTTAGCATTACACCACAACAAAAGCTGCGTCTCTCTCTAAGTTCCCAATATGCATGTCATGCACCCATTAAAGACACTACTCCATTAAAGACATCATCATCTTCCCTCTTTACACACATACACACCAAACTTGCTGAAAACAACATTCATGCCAGGATCCAACACGCAAAATTAGCTTCTAAGTATTGAACGTCCAAAATTCCCCTTACTACATGCAAAATATAGCTGCCTTGAGACATAACGCCATGGGAACCACTGCAAGTCTCTTATTTCTCTAGGACACACAAGTAGGAAAGTTCTACCAGGAATTTTTCAGGTATGCATGCCTCACAATCTATACTGACAAAATGGCAGTTCAAAAAAAAGCACCTTCGTGTCTGCAAACAGCAGAGAAGTCTCCCTGCCGTATTTCAGCATGAAATACTACCTGTGGTCTAAAATAACGAGTGGTAGAATAGATCCTTCATTTTGGGATCTTTATACCTGGACTAAACTGAAGGTTTTAAAGTCCATCTGTCTCCCTTTGCTCTGTGAGCTCTCTTACTGGCTTCCTATCTTGTGCTCCGCAGTAAAGGTGGGTGCAATATTCTGCCCTTGATTTCTCTGAGCACTCCCCACTTCATTCTCTCATACTGTCTTTCACATACTACAAAAGTTAAGCATTTCTTGCTTTTGGGAGCATCAAGTACATGGCTATGGATGGCTTTAAATGGTAAACGAGCTAGGAAAAAGAGCATACAAAATACTTTCTTGAAGCTTTCAGTTTTGCCAGTGGATAGAATACAGAAGTTTCATGGGCTGGATGTGCACAGTGCTGTTTCCATGCCACTAATTAGCTGATGCTTATTTTGTCCTTTCCCCTCCTTTTCTGTTCACTACTTGAACTATTTTCAGCGATCGGAAATGACACAAAATGTTAATGCTCAAGTTCTCTTTTTAGCTAAAGTTTGACAGAGAATAAAAGAGTGGACAAGACAGCTCAGAAACCCTCCAGGCATATGGAGTGTCCCAAAAACATTTGGTTTCCATCTTCAGCTGCAAATTATAGACAAGACGGATGTGTTTTAAACAAAAAAAGGTCTGTTCGACTTCAGTCTTGCAGAAATGCTAATACTAAACCACTGTCAACTGTGTGAATCAAGAAGGGGGCAGACAGGAAACAGAATTTCCCTAAGAATACTGAGATCCTGGTAATTAATTCATAAATAAAAGCTGACTGGTTGAATAATTTTTTTCCTTGTGTTACTGTTTAGTAAAAATACTGAACCTTGGATCTTTGCCTGAACACTTTGGAAAAAAGGCATTAATTTACTCTTCACCATGCAGATGTCTAAAGGAAAAGACATAATATAGCTTAGGTGTTTTTTCTCCTTTGATATAGTCATAATTTAACTGAGACAAACAGACTAAAGTCATAACATGTTATTGAGCACAAATGAAGACTGCTGCTTCCCAGCATAGCCAAAATTTTGTTTTCTGAAAAACAGCTTGGCACGCAGCATTTCTTCCCCACACCCCAAACACCCCACAAACAACAAGTCAGCATTAGAAATAGAATTGGTTGTTTATGACGCTGTAAAAATCCTAGAAATGGATGTTGTTGTTTTTATTTCTTTTAGTGGATGTGCCCCACATTCAATGCAGATATTCCCAATTTGGGAAAAAACCCCACTGTGATTCCACATCCCAACTGAAATCAGTCTCATGACTGTTAATGAGATTCTGAATCTCAATCAAAGGATGCAGCAACCATGAAACAGAGAAAAAGTGACATTTCCACAAGTTTAAACTGACATATGAAACTAAATTTAGACAGTGGAATTCTACAAAGCTTTGGCAATTTGACTTGCATTGCGGAGTGTCTTAGAGACCTTTTAGGATCACATTGCTTTATAAAGGTCACATTCAGAACTGGATTTTCGGAGTAGAATGTGGTATCTGTACAATAATAGATTCTATTTGTAGATCATAGAATCACAGCATGCTTTGGGCTGCAAGGGACCTTTAGCCCAGCCAGCACCAACCCCTGCCACAGACCGGCTGCTCCCCTCCTTGAGCACCTGCAGGGGCACCCTCAGCTTCTTCGAGCAGCAGTGCAAGGGCCTCTGGATAAAGATCTTCTCCCTCACATCTGACCTAAATTTCCCATTTTTACATCTGTCACTCCTTGTCCTGACACAGCACTCTCCAACAAAGAGTCATCTAGGGGCTGCAAGGCCACCATGAGTTCTCCCTGGAGCCTTCTCTCCTCCAGGTCGAACACCCCCAGCTCTCAGACTGTCTCCACAGGAGAGGTGCTCCAGCTCTCTGTGCATCCTCACAGGCTCCTCTGGATCCACCCCAACAGCTCTGTGCCCTTCTTGTGCTGGGGGCCCAGACCTGACAGCAACACTTCAGCTGGGAGTAGAGGCAACAGCCAGGTCTCTTGATTGATAGCTAGATTCTGTATCTCTATTATTCTCATTATTAACAGTGTACCTGAAAGCTTACATTTTGTTAAAATAACCTTTAAAGAGTGAGACAGGAAAAGTATGCTTCTGATTCTTAAGAGACAGACAAGATGAAGCAACAATTATTTTCCACCTTTACTTCTATGGGATTTTAGAGTGCAAGAGTGGAGGATTATTCCTAAAAAAATTGAGGTGTTTTGGGACAAGTATAACATGAAGTTTAACTAGCCTCTTTTTACTGTTATTAGTTTAGAATAATAAGTTATGAATTATATTGCAAATTTTATGAATTTGTTTGTTGAAACTGCAGCAGCATAATCCTTTAGATAGAATTTGTACAAGTGAGATGTTTGAACTGCACAGACAGCCTTCTGCCAGTGACTAAGAACCATCAGTATATCTTCTACACTTTATTTCTAGCTGAGATGGATATTCGCTGTTAGAAAAGCTATGAATAAGCCTGAACAACAACATAAAACCAGGTTTTAATCACTACAGATAATATTAATTTCATCACAAGTTAGGTATCTAAAGGCAAGACCCCTAATTTCACTCATGATGACCATAAGCCACTTTCTGAAGCTACTTATTTCTGCTGATCTTTAAGAAAACCTCTGAATGTATCTGTAGGTAACGTGCTGGACTTACAGGTTAAGATTTGATTACTCTATGCAAGGCACTAAGATCAGGCTGCAACTGTATTGTAGCAGTACATGCATATTTGGCACGTACACCTGCAGCTGGGTGCACAGCCAGTAATTGATGAGTTAATGCTCTATGCAATATTTCAGTATCAAACTGAAGCATACTGCAGTATGTGTAACTATAACATCGACAGAAACAAAACAGTGTCACGGCCTGCAACACTGCCAAAGCAAATGTTAAGTGAGGGTCAGCTGGAAAGAATATCAAAATCCAGTTAATTAGAACCACGCTGTCTGTGCCAGCACACCAGAGAATTAAAAGTTGTTCATCAGTGAAGGAAAGGCAAGCTTTGATCCTTCAGCAGCTAAACAGCACAAAACCCAATGTTTTTCTTGTCCTTTTTATCTTCTCTGCATCTTCAAATTATCACTGTGTTTGCTGCACAGGATGTGAAGTTCTGAATGAGTCACCTACAAAATGAGGTGGCAAACGTAGCACAGAGCTAGAGAGCTGTTCTGTCTTAGTGTCAACCCCTATTTAAGCTTGGCATTAAAAAAAAAACCAAACAACCCCAAGACCTAAGATGGTGGAACACTGCTACAACAACATCACAACTCAGTTTCCCCATCACATCTCATAAATTCCTACTTGCACAGCATTAGCATAGTTTCAGCTACCATCTCTTCCCTTAGAATTTATCTCCTAATTCTTATTATTTGATAGATAATAACTTGCAATGGCTGTTAGTAAATGAGAGAAATTCACTAGTGCTTTTTTTACGTGCACACTGCGCTGCATGACCAAGATAGCTGAAAAGATCTAACAGACTGATCTGTCCTCTTTGACTGAGGGCAGATTGGACTGACTGGAGACAGAGCATTTAATATTATTTCATCAGTTCACCCATTACCACACGATATCAATGACAGACTATGGTACTGCAACATTAATCTGGAAATTCAGGTTCAATTCTTGGGTTGCACATCTATTGTGTGAGTGCTTCCCACTGCTAAGCATTAATTTCAACTGCGGATATACACAGATTCCTTCTTTTATTCCCACCCCCCTCCCCCCGATGTGTGGCCTCTGGTCAACTACATTAACCAGGTTTATGTATACATATTTGTCATTTTGTCTTCCCACTTGCATTTTTAATAAAGGAAAACACATTTGGTAATAAAAATCAATGTTCTGTGGCTTTTTATAAGAAGGTCATTTGACATTAGCCCTAAAGCCTTTATCTAACAAAAAAAATATTCCACAAAACAATATTCTATAAAAGCAAGGGATTTAAACTCTGATAAACCTCCACCCAATTAGTGACCTCCACATTTTCAACTGTAAACTGCACAACATGTACAGCACTTCTTGCATGGCCCCCCCACAGCCCCCTCTTTTTCAAAAGGAGGTTACAGCCTCACCGCTTATCAAAATGCAAACCAGGCTGCTCAGGTTTTGACAGGGACCCACGTAGTATCCAACTAGGAACTGGGCAAACGAAACAAATACATGTATGAGTAACCCTAGACGAGGTAGTTCAGTATTGTGCCATGCAAAGTGTTACTTGATTCACCTGGTGTACCTGGCTACTGCAAAGGTTAGTTACACATCAGTACCACAAGCAACGATAGAGTGCCTATGCTACTGCTATGCTTAGTCACCAGCAAGCAGGAACAAGAATGTCTATGTTGAGCTACACACAGTATGCTCTAGATAACGTAATGGAGCATTTTGAAAGTACAAGTTCATTAGAGTATTGAGAATTTTTCCAATTTACACTGGTAATATTTTCATGAGAATGCTACTACAACATGTAGGAAGAAGCAAGTGGTTTTGTACAGGTTTTACCATCCTTAGTAATGTACCTTTTCCCGATTAGCTGGTGACAAACTTCTGTAGAGCTTCTTGCCTTGCTTGCCAGCATTCCAAATAGTGAATGATGTCCAGGAGCTCAGGACTCTATCCTCAAGAAACTTGACTCGGTGATTCCAGATGGTTTCCCTAAAGAATTAGAAAGAAATATATTATTTTACATATACACATCCACACAAACCTGATCAAAACAATTCACACAGAATACAAAAATGGCAGCAATTTCCCAGGGCCACATTTAACTGCTGGAAGAAAAAAGGAAATTCTGTGGAAGCCCTTGGACAAAAATCATTAAGATCAGAAATCATAGCTGTTATTTTCAAGAACTTTAACATGGTAATCAAATTCAATACCAACAATTCCAACTGCCCATCAACATGCTGTTTGCCCACTGCCAGACACCAGATGAACTGCCCTATAACCCTGCAGTACATACAGGCTAATCCCAATTCTTCATGCTCCACTTGCCTATACATTTATTCTTCTTTGTCAATCCAAGCTTCCAATCTCACAAATTCACGACTCCAGTCTAGCCAAATAGGCAGCCCAATGCTGCATGTAAAGTCCAAACATTGTTGTACTCAGCTCAAGTCTTCAAAAAGTCAGTTTTCAAAGCTCAGGATCAGTAGACATTGGTACAACAACAAATAAACAATGAACTGCAGAAGTTGCATACAGCAATGGAACTACCAGCCCTTACACACAACTCAGCACTTGCTAATAGCGCACACGTTAGACCAAGTGCTTTTATTTTGAAGCCTTCCAAGTATTATTCAGCAACAGTACAAATAACCAACTATGCCTTCTATGCCTTCTTTTGAAGATGACCTTTTTAAGAAATAAAGAGCAATAGAATTTATTATCGCTTTTACTTTTGAAGAAAAAGTGCTATGCCTTGTGAGATACTTTAGAATATACTTTAGAAACGACCAAGCTGGCACATGCCTGGGTCAAATTACACTTCAGGTCTTCAGATTTGTAATACATTTCACAGTATGACTTAAGCCAAGTGGTTGAGGTAAACAGCAGTGAGATGAATATCAAATGATGAACCATGTGTCTGTACAACGAGTAAGAAGGGAACACGTAATATCCTTAAATGCTGATGGCTGGCTGGGATCTTCAAAGGTTCAACATACAATCTCAGCAAGAGAGGACAACTTCAAGGCAAGGATTACATTCGTATCCTGTACATCCTAACTGACTGAATTAATTCAGTCTCACAACTGTGACATTATTCTTTTCTTTTGTGCACACCTCCTATCACTTTCAAACATTTAATGTATTAAAAAAAAAAATCTATTCCCACCATATAATGTAATATTTTAGACTACATAATTTACAATGGTTTAAAGAAACCACCTGCTCTCAAGAACATCTGTTTAATGTTCAGAGTTTACATCGTATTCATTAACCAGGAACCTATCTGATACTTACAAACAGTGCTCCAGACACGATACACCGATTTCCTTAATTTATGGTTTGACAGACAAATCTAATGGACATCTCTTGAACAAGACACTGTGTTGAAAAGTAATTCTGTCAGAAATTCCAAAAGGCATCTAGTTTCTTATCCTTGCTGAAAACATTTCTTCAAATGGCTTTTCCACTTGACTATAATGCCAGAACACAATACAGTTTAGAACAATTGTTACCAATCATTCTCCAGCTTTAATAGCCCTTGTGACTCAAAATGTACACTGCTTTAAAAAAAGCATTCAGGACTAACTCATGCATTTATGAATAGTCATTCTCTGAAATTAAGCACTAACAGACTTGTTGTTTCCTTGTCTTTGGAAATACATATTTTTCCTACCAATACACCTTCGACACAATTTAAAGCTCCATGATTTTCTGACATTATTGAGTTCATATGGAATTTATGCATTTTCCAAGAATATGTTGTTCCTTTTGCTTTAAATAAAGCTTCTAATTAACAGGTCAGCACAGGTTATCACAGGGCAGCTGCAATAAGTTTCAACCTCAGCTGTCTACCTGGCCAGGCCTGATTCCTGGTTTTAAGAGCAACTTGCCATATAGAAATCAAAAACCATTCACAATTTCCTTGATAGTAAGAATCCAAACTGCACAGGCTGGCAGAGTCATGAAGAGGAGCAGTTCTGAGCCATTCTCATCAATGAATCAGGCTGCTCTCTTCTGACTATCTGCAGTCCTGTATGCATCCATTGTGATTCTCTTACAGAACCGTACACATGCTACACACAGATTTATGATGATCTGGCATTATGTCTCATCTTAATTTTATGAAACATTTTCAATTTTTTTCTTTTTGTTATGGATCATCAATTTCTACAAAGGCTGCACTGGATACTATTTTGTCATTCCAAATGACTTTAACGAAGCATACCTCAGAGGCACAAATATACACAAGGATAAAATTTGAGGCTATTAAATTTATTACGTAACAATTTCTACCAAAAGTTTGTTAGCAAGCTTTTCTTACATCTTAACAATGGGAATTTTGTTTTCATTTGTGCCACTCCTCCGCAGCCCTCATAGCACACAGGCATATGGATTCTTTCTGTGATTATTAGCCAGCTCCTGAGAGCCTGCCTCACTTCTGCAGGAGATCCCGAGCACAGCCAAATCCTTATATGGCTGCTTAGCACTTCATCACTGATTGTGGTGCGATAACTTGGAAAGAACTTCTCACACAAATAAATGTGCCCACGAAGAATTAGCCACTCCATATAAAGTTTTGAAGACTGAGGCCGTGCACCAGCACTTCAACTAACGGAAAAAAAATCTTGGATTTGATTGCAAATCTCTTCTAATGCAACCACAAGCTGCATTCCTGCTGCAAAGCTTTAGCTGCTGCTGGCATCCTCTGACACTTCCATTTTTCCATGTTCATTACAGCATGTTATATTCCCAGAAGGAAAGTTAAGGGAAAGAACTATGAAGGTCAAGTATTTTTCCAGAATCGTGTTACTGGAAATTCTAGAGCTTCTGCGAGTTTCTAAAAAGGAAGATTGTGGCTTTACACGTAAATGGAAAGGTTTGAAAACTGATTTCGCTTTGAAATGTGACTTCAGAAGAATAACAGTGCATTATTTTCCAGAGGTACTTCAGAATATGTCCTATTGACTTGAGCAGCACAGTCAAGTTTCTTTCCTTCTTGAGTTTTAACAAAGTCAAGGAAGGGGAGGAAAAAAACAGGCAGCCTTCCAAGGGTAAAAGAGGAATTATTAGCAAACCTCCAGTTCTGGACCAAGCCTCCTGAAGATAGAGCTGATATGGAGAAGCTAGTCAGGGCACAGGATCACCAGCAGCAGAGCCAGGGTCAGAAAGAATCCAGCAAGGCTTTCAATCTACTCACTGCTAGATGGCTAAAAGCTAGGAAAAATAACTGAAATTAATTCACTTTAAAAAAAAAAGATTAGGCGTCATTGACCACGAAGACTAACAACTGTGTTTTCAGAGGCTCTACAGCAAGCAGCAAGAATGGCAGAGTTGTTGGGGAGAAGCCTAGAATTTGATATTTCTGTGCACTGACTCTCAGCAACTTCTCACATTCCAGCTAACGAGCACTCAAAAATGATCAGGCTGAAGCAGACCTACTGACCCTATCTTGTATACGAGCGTTACACTGAGTAACGCGAGTGGGGAGTAAGCAAACTGCACTAAGAATGTGAAACTCAACATTAACTAGACTTCTGTTTGAACACAACAGCACTGTTAGACAGCTTTATTTAAACCCTAACAAATGCTTCTCTTGAATGAGAATTTTGGACTTCGTAAGGGAAGCCAATATATACAGCAATTATGAATTTCTTCTAGCATCACTATGAGACGTTCTTATGATGAACTACTATATTTACTATAAGCCCAAACTGAAAATTTCACTTTGTTGTTGTTTTTAAATTGATTCCCATATCGTATGCACCCTTTTTAATGAAAAAGTTAAGATATATCAACACTTAGCAATCTGGAGCTACAACCCTGAAAATCATTCAGCAGTGTGAGCCCAGATGGTCATACAGATATGGAGTCAAGGGGAGGCGTTTGTTTTTGAGCTTTAATTACACCACCAACAACAGACTTAATCTTTGTGAAAACATGCTCTTTATGAACAATATCTCTCACGTGTTGAAGCAAAAAGTAGCTCCTGGTGTGTCAAAAGGGAGAGTTTCAGTTACACCCTTTTGGTTTCTGGTTCACCTAATTTGCCACATTTTTGGACGTTTCCAGAATAGATAACTGGGATTCCTGCCTTGAGGGATAAGGGAATGCCATTTTCCCATCATTTAAGAGCCAGTGCAGGTGCAACAGATGGGAACTGTAGCAACGTGCAAAGCATGCTTAAAGAAAATGCCTGAAACAATCTAGAAGTTGTACAAACCGATTCTCACAGCTACGTTCAGATTTCATGTTATTACATATTCAAATAGCCATAAGCAAAACCTAGAAGCTATCATTATTCTACATCATCCCAAAACAAAGCTGCTTTCACCTACCACCTCAGATAGGATTAAAGGCAAACACTTTGGTAGTAGCCTTTAGTATCATTTCCCAGCCTCTTCTCAATCAACAGCATTTTTCTCAGTCAGAAGGTGGGACACAAACTCTTCTGATTACAGAAGCTGGCACCCATTGTAACACACCTCTTTAATCAAAATCCTTGCAGTACACATTTTTTTCCTCATTTCTTTCATTTTCCCGTCATTCACAAATGTCAGACATACATTTTTTAACTTGGAAAATCATTCTCATGTGGTATGCCCACTCAATCCTCCTAAGCTATGCAGTCTGGAAAGAAGAAGAGGAGCCAAAATTCTGCAGGATCGACATGAGGGTATTCATTCAGTGGGTGAGAAGTGTGCTCCTCAGTCCCCTGCAATTATTGCCATCCCATCCACCCTAGTAATGTAACAATGGAGCTCTGTTAAAGTGTGTGCTGACCTACTGACTGAATACAGGAGTCAAGAAACATCTGCTCCATTCCTATTTTGAAATGAAAGATAATGTGACAATAAAAGCTATATGATTTAATGTCTGAGCTCTGTTAAACCTCACCATAACGTTTGACTCCCTCTCCCCTCCTTCCCCCCAGTGAGGTTACATAAGTGAATCAACAGAGCAAAGACAGATGTACAAGTACTTGTGAAATGTAAAAATACAAGCCCAGTATCCTAAAGCAGTACTGAAACTGTAGGCATTGATTATCATCCACAGTAACGCTATAAATCTGACCTTCCCTCTACACGAGGTCCCACATGCTACTCAGGTGACACCAGACAGGAAGAACAGCTATTCAAGTGAATAGCCTCTGCCAGTGTTTTTTTTATTCATGGCAGGATAATAGAATTTTATATGAGGTGAATCTCACCTGATAGATAATCCAGAGATGGAAGAACAGAGAACTTTTTAATCACAGCAAGAGCTGGAAGAACAGACTCCTTCCAGCTAGCTTTTTTACAGCTAGCTTTGCATGCAGAATTCACAGCCCTTGCAATCCACAGGAAATTCAGAAATGAATCCTATTTGAACCCTGACCATACTGGTGAATAAACTGATTTTTTTGGTCGCCGTTGTTCTGTTGAACTTTATCTGAACTTATTAATTGCTGCACTATATCGTACTACTGAGTTATTACATTTACACTGTTAATAGGTTCTATTAATGTCTGAGTTCATTTTCAGGTCGTGGGTCATTAACTGAGGCATGGTTTGCATTGTGGCCTATTTTTCATGAAAGGCTTATTAACAAAGACAGAGACTATCAATGTTAATGCCATTCGCTTTTCAAGAATCTAATGAGGTCATTAGTTTTCATGTTTAATTGAAGTGCCAAACGCAGACAGACGATAAAAATGCAGTTGACCTCATCTTTACTACCGTCGTGCAGGAAAACGTTACGACTGCATCCGCTCCTGCTTATTTCTGGATACATGTTTTTGCAAGAAATTAAGCAGCCATTCCAATGCTCATCAGTGATATGAGACCATGCCTCAAGTACCTCTAAAAGAACTGAAAGTGTGTTCAAACTAAGGGCCTGTTCTTTTGCTTAGATGACACTGGAAGCTTCTAGTGCCTGACACCAATGGTTTTAGTAGACTACGTAATATGGGATATTTCTGCAGAATAAGCCTGTACAACATTACATTTGTTCTGAGCACACAGCACGTGAAATTGCTACAAGTTATTTAAGCATGCTTCAAATTTTCTGTATAAAAGAGAATCTCCCAAATCTCAGTGGGAATCTGACCCTGTTTTCTGCATATCTTAAATTTCTCTTGACCAAAAATTTGTAAATTGCTACAAAGATTTCCTACCTGCCCCAACTGTCTTCATGTGCAACACCACTTAAAGACAAGTACAGTGTTTTATTGCTCATATTTTACCATACTGACTTTTGTCTTGCAATGCAGTACATTGTTTAATATACAGTTCATTTTTCTCCCCTTTAGCAAGATAAAGATCTATGAATTTTATGATGTTTTTATTACACACCAAACTTACCGTAGTACTTCTCACTATAATGCCAACTCTGATATTCTGTCAGATCAGTGCAACAGAGCCCTGTAGCACAAAATACACACACCCCTAGGATAGAAGCTGTAAACTGAGATAATATGATTTAGATCCAAGAGATACAGTGTGGGATTTTTTTGTAGTAGTAGTAGGCTGAAGTTTCCCAAATCTTGTATCATTCATCCACATTCAGCAGGTATTTGCCATATACTTTAGATGAGATTTCAATGAAAGAGCTTATATTTTTGTATGCATCTAATGAAATCTAAATACAGCCTGCACTTTGTTCAGATTCTGTCACACACACACACAGCATTTAATATTTTAGTCTGATACCTCCAGGGAGAATGCAAATAAGTTTTTCTTCCTGTTTCACAGATACCTTCGCCTTTAGAAATCTGTTCCAGAAAGATCCCAATCATAGGAAAGGACTTAAAGAGCATTGTTTACCATTATGCATACTAAACTAAACAAAACTTTGCTTGCCAGAATAGCTTTATATATACACTTTAACAAGTTTGAATATGTGGGATCATGCATTTTCACTGAATAGCAATGAAAGACATTTGTATAAACTGAAATCAGTTCACAATAGGATGCGAATGCCCGTTGTCTTTGCTGAAGGACTGTATGTGCACCTTTGCATAAACAAACTCTATTAACTAGCTCCCAACTCTGAAACCAGACATAAACCATTAAAACTCTCAACTTTCCTGTAAGTGCCACTTTTCTCTCAATGTATTAATCTGGTTCCTGGTTTATCACTCCCATATCCAGGCTTAGGCTAAAGCTGAGAGTGCAACGGCCAATGACAAAGGCAAAGTGTCAGAAAACTGCTCAAGTAAAACACCCCAACAAGACAAAGGCTGCGGGAAAAGGCTGAACATGTGTTACAAATTGAAAGTGTAAAAAGGGCAAATTAGGGAAGACCCAATTTCAATGCTAAACCTTTGTGGCGAGTCCCACAGCAACGCACACTGTAGCATTCAGGAACAAATGCTGGCTAGTTCTTTACAACTTAGGCAATAAGCAGGGGAGCATGCCAGTATGAAGAGATCTTACACAAGTTCACATTTGTAAGTTTGCACAAAATATTGTTAACAATACTACCAACAAAAAGCCAGCAGGAAGAATAGCTAGCCCGCCTTCTGAGAATGAGACGAGCGAGGCGCCAATTTGGACATGCAAGCTGCACATCTGAAACAGCTTACAGTGTTTCCACATTCTCACAGTGTGTTGTAATTCAGGGTGCTTGTGCCACACAACCTTGTAGATCTGAATAAGCAACAGCTTGCAGTAAATTCAGAACAAACTCATTTCCAAGAATAAGATGCTTTCCCACAGATAGAAGCAATAGTCTTCCAAGAGTCCCAACATCCCACGATGCATGGCTGAAAAGTTTGTAACTAGCTGCCAAAGCCATCATGCACACAAAAGGAAAAACCAAATGCCAATTAAAAAAAAAAAACCTTGTGTTTGTTTACAAAATCCAAAGAGTATCTTCCATTTGTTTGGAATGACTCTTTGAGTATTTACAGTAATAATATTGTGATATACAACTAAAATGCATACAAATGTTTTACTAGTCAGTGCTACAAAGCCATAAACAGGACTGACTGAAGAGTGTAAGTCATTCATCAGTAAGAAAACAGTTTACGTAATTACCACTGTAGTTTGGTTGTGAGACTCTTAAAGGATAACAAAACTCAAACATTTCACTAGTGTCAAAATGTAAGAGAAACACTTCTTTTGTCATGACTTTGGCTCAACTTGCATTACTTCTGATCAGAAAGAGCACTTTTGATAGATAAAGCACTTGAAAGAATCAGCAATCGACAGTTTAGCTTCATCTTGAAGGGTAGAACAGCACTGTAAAGGCAGCAGACAGCTTACAAGAAAGCACCTGAGAAGATTACTCCTACACATCCTCAGAAGTATTTTTCAAACCTTGTTATCTGATTTAGATGCTTTAGACTTTTTAAAATATGAAAATAGTTTTCGTAAATGCTGCAATTCTCAGATCAAAGATCTGGTTTTTGTTCACTTTCCTAAGGAAGATTTTTGTTAGCATTACAATAGGTTCTGTATATTTCCTTAAAACCAAGACAGTTTTTTTTGAAATTAAGCTTTAAAATAAAAAATATATATATGTGTCTTGCATTACAGCTCATACGGTAGAAATATAAAAAGAAAAATCTTATTAGTAATTTTAGTGTAATGCAATTTTTTTTTTTATATATATATTTTTTGCAATAATCTGCAAAGTACTGAAGAAGTTATGGCTTCACTGCCATGTTCAGTAGATGAGAAACACGATCACATTCAGTATTTCCAATTGCCTTAAGGGCAAAAAATGTAAATACTTGAAATAAGCAGAGAGGTTATTTGGGCAACTTGCAGAATCTGAAGTGATAAGATACCGAACTGCCTCAGCGGAGTGGATGGGAACTGGAAGCTGAGAAAGCACTGCTGTAATGCAGCCACCAAAACTCCTGATTGCTCTCACTGTACCTGTTGTGAAATTATTTCAAGAATAATTGCAGAGACTGAACTATTTCTTGGAATATTTGTCCAATGTTAAAATGCCTTCACTCCATGGGCATCAGCACCAAAGATTTCTATTCGTAATTTCAACGCCAGCATTATAATATGTTCCTCAAAAACAGGTTATAACAAAACAAAACAGGAAAACTATCCTTCCATCGGTAAATACAGGATGTTATCAGCATATTAAGATTTCATTGCTCCTCGGCTTTCTTGTTTGTTTTTAACAAAGCATTTGTTAAATGCTAATCATTCAAGATGAAGCTGATTTTTAAGTTCTACAAAACAAGCCTCAACTTACTCAAGGACAGAATGAGTTGCAGCCTGTGGATGGTAACGGTACAGCAGAAGGCAATGGTTCACTCGAAGGACTTCACCACCCTTCTGGAGATGTTTATAAAAAAACAACAAGTCTTCTGGAACACCCTGGAAGAGAAGCAGTTCTTTCATACCACCAAGTGACTAGTTGCATCTAAGTATATATTTTATATATTTCTAATAAATGAAATTATTTCTGTATATCTCCAGGAACTTACCGAACGCTTCGCTAAGTAAGCATATCTGTACAAAAGACAAAGCTACTAAATAAGCAAGCAGTGCTGTTTGAAAATGAAATATATCTGACCATAAGGACATAAATGGAAAAATAAATGGTCTCATTTTGACAGGGAAAAGCTTGATGCAGATCAGTCCCAAAAAGAGAGAACCCAGCTGCTTAACAGTTCACAAAGCCTCAAAAGTGCCAAGCAACCAAGTAATTTATTGAAAGGGAACAGTGACTTCAGAAGAGTGGGTTGTTGCTTTTTTTCCATTTTAATAGAATTAATCTTCTTTCTTTGGTTGCCAAACACTGGTCTCTACTTAAGAAAGGTGAATCAGGCTCCATAATAACAGACATGAACTTTCAATAAAAATAAAAACGGTTGGAATGAGGCAGCATTTGAAAAGTAAAGCATCTTTTCTTGCAACTTATTGCCACGTCATGTTCTTCATAAGGAACTGCAAGCAACAGTGCTGAAACTGCAGGGAAGAATCCTCCTAGAACTCTGGAGCCCTCAGGCTCCCGAAAGAATAGAAATGCCATAATCATATGCAGCATTTTTCACCCAAAATCAGAAAATCTTCATGCCAGAGACAGTGTGTCAGAAGAACAATCATATGGCACATAGTACTTAAGTGTGTCTTACATACCGAAGCATAAACCCACCTTTAGTGATACAGCCCTGCAGTAAAAGTAAAAAAGCATCCATCTACATTTTGCAGTGAAGCAACTTCTTGAAAATTTGAAGTTTGGCTAGAGCATCATTTTTCCTATGTTTAAATACAGTTTTTTCTTTCCTCCAGTGGAGTGTCTAAACATTCCCATAACTTTACCAGGCTGAAAATCTCTGATAGAATAATTTTGCCAATTAAGTGTAGAGTCAATAAAAAGCTGAAAAGCAACACAACAATGTGAAGACTATAGAGAAGGAATAAGAGACAGAAATTGATTTGTTTCTGTAGGAATAATGAGGGGGTCAAAATCCTTAAATGTAGAGATTTTATTTCAACACACACAAAAAAATAATGAAAATCCAAGGGGAAAAAAAAAAATGAATTGAATTTTTTTTTCGCCCATTACCACAGCTTCTGAGTTTCTTCCATAATTAAGAAAATGAGATTCTCTAAATTAAAGCTCTGGATACAAAATGCCTATGTGGTTTCTTCTGGCCCTCTAGTTACAACAGTAACACAGTTCAGTGCCTGTTTTTCATACCCACCACACTGAGTGCTGGTGTCAGACAGGGTCTGGACAAAGCAGTCAAGGGGGGAGGAGAGGGGATAAGGCAGAATGGCTTTAAACCCAGAAAACAAATCCAAAACACTCAGTCGAACACATGTGTCTTGCGAGAAATCATAACTAATTCAAGCTTTGTACTTCACAGCTCCAGACCTCACTGTATAATAGATTGATTTAAGGCACTGAATTGGACCCTGCTCCCAGATCCACAAATAAAATTGGTTCCATTCTGTCCGATTGCTTGGCAAGGGCAACTTGTCAGTAAAAGTTCATGTTTCTCTTTGTGAATATTCATTTAATTTCTAGCTTAAGAGCTCAGATACAGATGAAAACGTTTAGAGAACTTCATATAATTTATGATTTATACGAACTCAGTTGAAAGTCACAAAAGTAATCTGAGGGAGACCAGAGCAACAAACAGCAATCACGGCATCAGAAAAAAGCAAACTCAGATTCTTTCCATTTATCTTATAGGACTTACTAACCTTTTCTTATTCTGAACTTTAATGGAATTACTGAGAATTAGCAGCAAAGTTTTAAAATTATTCTTTGAAGTATTTCTTTGCAGTCAGGCAACAGACTGAGACTGACAAGGCACATCTCTGCTCTTTTTGCTTTTGGATATGGTTTACATCATTCAACTTAATATTAATAGGTACATTAAAGAAGAGAATTACTGAAGAAGCAAAAGGATCTTTCACAACGCTGTTTGGTTCTGGAGAGCTCTTTTGCTTTAACTAGCAGAAATACTATGAAATAAAGTATGCTCACTGCCAGGAACAAGCAGGTGCCTTGTATTGCTCAGCAGTGGCCTCTCACATTACAAAGGAGCAGCACTGACGTACATCTTTCAGGGGAGGAAAGATGTTGACCATGTTACGGATCCTGCAGGGATGGGACTTCCTACAGCTCTTGAGCATGTAAAGTTTGGTGCAGTACAAGAGTTTCTTCCCAGTTGAGAGGCATTATTGGATCCAGATGGCATTTTAAACACCAGGAACCTTTGTCAAACAATGCAACTTTCAAAGAAAAGGCTGCTTTAACTGCTAAAGGGATACTTCAGCATATTTTTGGAAAATTAATACCCATAGCTAAAAGTATCAATCTAGGATATCAGCAATAACCTACCACATAAATAGTTTTCAGCATTAATATAATTATGTTGCACAGTTTATATGTTACTGGAGTACAAATGGAATTTTCCACATTATAGGCAAAATCCAACCATACATGCTGTTGCACTAAGGGATGGCCTCAGCCTATCAGCTGCAGATTAAGATTCCTAGGAGAAAAAGCAGTTTGCACCTGCTCTGTTCTAACCACCACACACCAGCCACATTCAGATTAACAGTTCACTTTAATATGTTGCCTCTAAGCAAGTGAGAGATGTGTATTTACCCAGTATTTTGGACAGGTTTCACTTGACTGTGCTAACAAATCGGCTGGATGCATGCAGGGACTAATTTTGTACAGGATGTCAAGCAGACCCAAACCTGAACTAAAGCAATTCCTTGTTAGGGGACAAAACTAAATGTTCCATGATTCATCTCTTGCCTCCTCCCTCCCCTTGCATTTCCCACTCCTGTGCACAGAACTGTGCATCAAGGGCAACATCCTCAACACACATACTTCATAGGGAGCTGCAAGCCAGCTATCAAGACAACAAGATATTCTGGCTTCAAATGTTGCAGCTCCACCACCAGTAGGCAGTATCTTAGGCCCAGCCTACAGTACTAATAAAAAGAGAATGGGAATCTGGAAGATGAAGGTATTTATCTATGAATTCTGAAGGACTTTTAATTAAAAAGCTGCCCTGTGTGCAATACTGCTCCTCAGCTCCTGTAACTGCTAACACCTGGTGAGAAATCTGCAGCAGCTGGTGTTGGTCACTACAGATCTACAGACTGAGAAAAGTTGGTTTTTCGGTCAGAGGGCACCGATAACCACAGAAAAACAGCAGGGCAGCGTTGGATAGAATAAGTCAAAATTTCTTTCATTTCTCAGAGGAGCCTGAAGTTGCTGTATGGAACATATCACAAAGAAAGCAATTCTTGTTTCCATGCTAACCTGCTTCTTATGGGATCTTGGTGAGAGTTTGTTTCATCATCATTTAACTAAGTTCCTTCCCACTACAAACTTTAGGACATTAGATAAAGAAGAAAAATCATGCTACTGTTACAGTGGAGTAGCCTGGAAAACAGGTCAAATGGTGCATGTTACAACACCCAAGATTAAGCAGGAGAAAAGCATTAAACTCCAAGTAGTTCAGCACCAAAACAGAGACGTCAAGTAAAAATTGAAGTACTTATGGCAACAGCTGCTCCACAGTATTTCCTCAGTCTTGAATGAACTGTTGGACTTACGGAAGGAACACAGAGAAGGGTGGTAGCATAAAGGTGAATTCAGAACATGGCCTCTGGTGAAGGAAATCCTCTTCCCTCAGAATCAAATGCTCTTCTGCCAGGTGCCATCATCTAGCAATATCTGCTGTTCAAGGAGTACTGACTGGGAAAACTACTGAGCTGTTGGAAGTGAAGACTAAGAAACTGCAGCTATTGTCTATTTTAAATGTGGAAGTAGAGAAAAAACAACTGAAGTAATTTATGAAGAATTATCTCTCAGGATATTCATGAAGACAATTTCTGTATTAAATTACTATATTTTGATTTTGTAGGGAACTTCTCACTGAAATTACTTCTCTCAAAGAGAAATCACCACAGTTGAAAACATTCCTTGAGCTTCCATTAGAGCAGTCACCAGAAGTATGCAAGCAGAGCAATCACAAGCTATGTTAAATAGCTGTGAATACCTTTTCCTTAGGATTACCCTGTATACTCTCAAGTCTCTCTCTGTAAAACTGTCATACCATCTTTTGGCTCCTATCCAAATCATGGCTTTAAATCATTTTCCTTAGTTTTAAGACCTGGAGCCTCTAATGTGAAATTTACTTAATGGTTTGGAAAATAGCAGGTTACAAGAAATTCTTTCATCCAAATAAATTCAGATAAATTTGGTTAAAGATGATAGAAGCATCACACAAAAGGGATGTGATAAATTCTAAATGGTGTTTAATGATAGGCTAACCAAAAATGTTACTAGGCATGGGGAATGGAATGAATTTTCAAATAGTTTTACGGACTCATTTATCATTGGCTCCACCACTTTCATTTTTTTTCAGATCAAATACTGATCTCTGTCCAGCCTAAACAATACCAAGCAAGAAAACATCAGCATCTGTGCTTTCTCAGACTCTTACCCAGATAATGTCAGATTTTAATTTTTTAAGATTACACATAGTTTTATCTTTATGTTCTGTCAATCTACCCATACTATTAACATAAACATCAAATCACAATTTCCTCCATGGAAGAATTATATTCCATTTGTACTAAGCACTGAAACATGAAGAACAGGTGTTTGGATTTAAATCCAAATGAGAAATGCAGCTTTTTGGCATGCAAATAGTTTAGCAGATGGAGAAGGCTGAAACGTGGACGTTTGTTGGCCTCTCTCTATGTTTATTTGCAGCAATATGACACTTAGAGGTCACACTGTTAAATAGTAACTCAAAAATGGAGACAGAAGAGATCAAGTTAACACAGTGAGATGATGGGTCAGGTCAGAACATACAGACATATAGGTAAGATCACTAAGAGTCCTTACTAGTTTATGAAGGCACCAGTTCATAACAGGTCTATAAACAACAGAAAATCTTTGCCTCAAACTCTTTTCAAATGGAAGAGTCATATAAATACTTAGTGCTAAGTGCTAAATGATGTTGTATCCTCTGACCTCACTGTTTATGACCAGTTGCACTTCTTGTTAGTAATCTGTTTAATGCCCTCCTTACTAGACAGAGTTGATTTTGATGTCAGGTCACAATAAGGACAAAAAGTTGAACTTGTCACTGACAATTTTTAGGGCTACAGTGCTGCTGCAAAATCATTAGGACTAAAATTTTCAACATATTATACCTGAGTAATACACAACTACACATATAAAGCTAGACAAAATTTCTAAAAAGGCATAAAAACACAAAAGAAAACCAAACAAAGAAAGAAAACCAAATATAAAAGCAAAACAGACTAATGGTCTGTTTAACCTTCACCTCTTGAACTTTATCATTAGGCTTGGAGTTCTACTGTTCTTGTGTTTTAGCTTGCTTTCTTTTTTGAGCTTACTAAGAATGCTCAAAAAGTTATGCCAAACATTCTTCAGGGAATGAAAATGTAATTATAAGGAATGATACTAAAAAAGAAACAAAGAGCATAGCTCAGTGAATGTGGATTGTACTGGAGAACAGGCTCCAGTTCTGCCACACACCTGCCCCAAAACTGAGGGCAAATCTTTTCAGCATTCTAAACACTTCTCTGCCAGTGCTTAATTTTTTACTGGCAGAACAAAGAATAACACTTGTATATCCTCATACACACACATAATGTATATGTATGTACACACACACAGTGCATAGCTGCATTTAGAGGATACAGTGAGAATAAGAAGCTGTAGTTTAAATACTAAAATAGGAAATAGCTTCAGCAAATCTTTTTAATGCACAATTAAAGGAATACTTTCCAAAATCTCACCAAAACCACTGGAACCAGAACTCCTAAGGTCTGAAACACAGAATAGGTCCACATGAATCTGAATAAGAGTTTCACTCACCTTTCCACCCTCATCAAATTTTCCTACGCGATAAAACCATTCTCGAGAACAGAACCAGGTTGGCATGATGACAGTAGGCCCATGGGAGGTGAACACCTACAGAAAAGGTGGGGGAAAAATAATCTTAAGAGAATGTCAAAAACGTTATGTGCTGGAGAACAAAGTGAAGTTCACGCATTCATCTGAATTTCTGCAAATACTTCCTTATGTACTTAATCTTCAGCAATTTTAAGAACTAATTCAATTGCTTAAAACTTAGCATATGCTCTGTGCCTAAGATGAAGTTCATCACAATATCGCAGCCAAATGAATCTAATTTCCTGCTTCATATTTCTTTACAGTCCATTCCACCATACGTTGCAACATACGCAGAGTACCTTGAACTGTATTTCAGTTTTTGAGAAATGCACTGAAAGCGACAGTTCTATTAAATGCCCACTGTTGATACTGAAGGAAATTAAGAATGATCTTAACAAGTTAAAGCTCTTACACTCTAGAATTGTAGGTTGATTTTGTTTTATATTCCTTGTGCATATACTAAGAAATTTCATCTATTCATTCATTCATCTATTATTTTTGCCAAAGGCTTTTGAAGCTTAATCAAGATTGAGCAAGTATTTTAAACACTACCAGAGCACTACAGATTTGCTACCCAGTGCTACCTACCTTAAAAGGTTGTTGGATAGAAAATGCTTTAGGGACTGAAAAGGGAGTGGTTATTAATTTCATCCTCTTGAATAGTGACAGCCAAAAACTATACAAATCAGTCTTCGCAGCTTTAAACAAACCTGTTTTATTTCATGGTTGTGTTTACAACAAAATCTGGATTTATAGAAGGTAAACTGATTCTTTCTTTTAATACAAGATGAAATATCTGGCCAAACAAGACTGAACTTGTCAAACAGTACACGCAAAGTTAAGGCAGGATACTATGCCTGCTTCCAAGAACTGCAGGAAGTAAGAAGTACAGCCTCATTTACAAAGGCAGAAGGAAAGAATGATTACTGACAGTCTTCAAAATGCTGACCTCATGAGCAGATGATTTCTTAGCTTGCTGTAGTGGCAATATGAACATTCCCATATTGTTTAAGGTTTTAAGAAGCAGTGCATGAATGTAAATTTTGTCACGTGCACTTAAGCCATTACATTTTAAAGGTACTCCTCCTGACTTCAACCTGAGAGTTCCTCAATCTCTGTTTATATCTGTCAATTTCTACTTCCTCTGATGTACATGAACATAAATCCCAAAGGCAGTTCTGCACAGAGACTTACATCAGGTCTTCAAGAAAATTGGAGAAGTCTAATGAAAGTCAACAGGGAATCTCCTCCCACTTTTCCTATAGCACGAATCATCTGACCAAATGCAGACATCCCCTTTCAAATGAAAGACGCTACATTCTTACTCCACAACATAATGGTACAACTCCACTGTCTAGGAAGAGATCCTAGGGTGGCCCATTTGAATAAGCATTCTTACATTATAGACACTCAGGTTTAGTCAGAATAATCCTATCATTCAATGGCTACGTCACTGACAGCTTGTTCATTACTGAAATATACTGGCTGCAGATGTGCTAAATGTCAAGAACTCCCCACAAAAGGCAGTTGGAGCTGAAAGAGTCAAAACACTCCCAGAAAATCAGAGCAGAGATGATTAGCCGGTACACGGTTATTAGCTCCACACTAATTACAAGGGCAATTGAATATGACCCAAACTAAACAATGACCAAGCAGTAATCCTAAAAGAAAACAACAGTAGGGAGAAAAGCTAGGCTAGAATGCATTGCATTGAATCTAATTTCTGAATGAAAGAAGATCTTCAAAGAAAGCCTTGAGCCTATTGGAACACAAGATGTGTTTGGAGAGACTAGAATGCCATTTCCTCAGCACAGCCAGGATCATCAGAGAACACAACTGTGCTTACTCTTAGAGAGGTGGCTCAGTGTAATTAGTCATGCTCACATGCGAAGAGCACACATCCCAGATATCTTGTCTCTGTTCCACCGAGGTATCTGCTGAAACGAAACTCAACAGAACAAATCTGAAACACATGCTGCTAACACCAATGTCTTTCCTAAATCTAGGCTTCACTCACTGTCCATCTCAAGAAAGATACCACAATGTTTGGAATCTTACTAAGAGAACTCAGACTGATGATGAGGTGGCTGCACCACTACAGGTCACATGAAGGCATTTAGCCTTTAGCTTAGCCTTCGAACCTGGAACAGCACACCAGGTAAGAATCAACAGAAAGGCAAAGAAAGCTGCTTCTGTGTCAACATTTACAACGTGATGTCAAAATAAGGAAATGCAGATCCTCTGCCACAATGGACACATACATGCTAGCTTGTCCTCTGCTCAATTAAAATACCATTCTTGAAGTTGAGGTTCTTTTTGCTCTCTGAAGGCTAACTTGAAGAGCTTCTGAAAGTCCATCTGCAAGAGGAGAAAACAGTGACTTCAACCTTCTGCATTTTGGAAATTCTAGATATCAGTTTGGCTTGTCATTAACTACTGGATGCTGTAGAAATGAATGAGATTGAATTTTGGAATTAATTCAGTATATTGGAAAGCAATTTGGACCTAAGAATCTCTTACACATGGCTCTGTGAGTAAATGAACTCTCAACACTAGCTGTTAACTTACTGTACAATGTATGCTGTGAGGATTACCTAAGAGAATCTAATGAAGCCACGTTGTCAAAAACAACTATAGGGCTTTTAGATGAAGGTATAACTCCATTCAGATTTAGAATTCCTGAAGAACATGGTGTTGTCACAATCAGATTGGAATTCCCCCTTCATCGGTTTTCAAGGTCACACAGGCTGCTATTTCAGCACTATATTTATTAAATTATCAGAACTTTTATTGTCATCTGGTTTTATTCCAAGGATCAAGAAAGAGCAAGTATTTGAAACTGATTTATTCTGGTTTGTCCTTGCCAACTGCTCAGCTATCAAATTCCATTCAACAATTAGAGAGATCCTCTGGACAAAAAAAAAAATATCTGAAGAACACAGAGTTGATAAAGTGGGTTTCATTTGCTTTGTTTCAAAGCTGTCAGCAGCACATGTGATTCTGGTTCCCACTGATGTTCACTTCAGATCATGTCAGCATTCAGTAAGAAATCTAAGCTCCAGTACAGAGAGAGGCATTCATGTGTTTACAGTAACTCTTCACAGCAAAGTCCTATTTTCCAAATCAGCAAATCAAAATCTACTAGCAATGTGCTAAAAGAATACATGCAGATGGCGAAATAACCTTATTGCATGATGTTCTGGAGAATACAGTGAGGAAGCTAGCAGTTCTCATATTTAATCAAGAACCCAAATTGCTTTTCAATGTCGGAAGCCAATTCCTCCAAATAAACCTTCATATTTAATTCTACTTGTGCTATAATATTCATGAAAGTTACAACAATACAGATCAGGATCAGAAACAATCTCCTGTATGATAAGTGAAGCTTTCCAATACCCTGAGTCATTCATTAACACACTGGAGAAGCCAAAACAATGCAGCAAAACTGAGGTGGCTGAGGGACACAAGCGCTTTCTGAGCTATAGGAGATGATAGGCTGAAGATTCATCAATTCAGATGTTAAGATACCATTTCTACCATTAATTTAGTAGTGAGTGTACCAGGACTTCATGACTGCAGATTACTTGGTTTACACTCACTCGTGTGTGTGTTGGTGTGACTGAAGAGGAACAGCAGCAAGGAAGAAAATACCTTTGTCCTACTTCAGGAAAGTTTCTGGCAAATAAGTTTTTTCAAAAAAAAGAATTACAACGAATTTACTAACCTTTCAAGAGTTCAAACAACCAATCTGGTATGGATTACATTAAGTGAATTTACATTATATTGAACTTTTTTTTTTTTTTTTTTTTTTTTTTACCCTTTCCCATGCTTATACAAATAATTGACTGTATCACCTAATCATTGCATGCTTCAATATTAGCTGAAAATCTGCTCTAAAGAAGCCAAGAGCTGGCAGAGCGAAAGAAATTAAAAAAAAAAAGAGATCAGAAATAAAACATGCTGTAACTCCATACTGAATGTTTGACATACACATAGTAATTCTAGTACAGGATTTAAATAATATAAAAAAACATTTTGCATTCAAAGTAGGACAGAATCCTAACTATACAGGCTAAACAGTAACACCTGGAAGTGCTTGCTTCCAGAGGTAATATATTAACTATGGCTTTATAGGCTCATAAATTTGTATTGAATTGTGTTCTTGCTTTATGCGAGCTGCCTACGCCAGCCTCATAATGCTGGATAAGCTGACAGTACTCTGAATATCTCTTTATCTTAGTTGAATGCTCCCAGTAAAATGAGAGAGCAAATGCCATTCTTCTAGTCTCTTATTTACTAATGACAATAAATTCTCCTTCTACTGAAATCTACAGGATGGAGGCATGCAAAGGGAATAGCCTGTATGATTCTAGCTTGTCCTACACCTTTTTTCTTGTCCGTAAGCTGCTAAAGGTGGTCTTTGTAACATCCCTGCCTTAACAAGTCTCTAATTCTTGGAAAGTTTCCAGTATTTAAAGAGTCAAGTATTTACAATGGAAGAATTACTCCATTTAATAAAATGAAGCACTCTATACCAAGAGCTTGTTTACTTCTCTTGTTATTTATGCTGAGCTCACACCACAGAAGGGAGAAAACAATCTGCTTGAAAGTTGTATTGAGTACGCTGCAATTAAAACAAACCAGCAATCTGCTGGAGAAGCAGCACTGACCAATGTTCATGTCATACCTTAAAATGACCTTCCCATCCGACATGAGGACGTGCCACTTGGTGTGGTTGCAAAGTGAAGATGGAAAAGGTCTTTCAGATTTGGAAATGGCTCCAGGACAGAACAGTTCCACTCACAGAAAGACTTGCAAATCTTCAGTGCTCAGATGACTTGAAAGCAGTTATTATTCATTTCCCACCCATAAAAACATCAGCTATGTCTGTAACTTGTTATTTAATATTTTGTATACCAAACATCATATACAGTGTGAAGATAATCATGCTAGTCCTGTCTAGCCCCCACAACACCTGTCAAAGTCTGGAGGAGCTGTAATATCCGAGGAACATCTTC